AAATGTCTGTGGATGATAGAAGCAAATCAGACACTGCTTTTGTACATCACAAGGGATTATTTCATTTTACTGCTATGCCCCTTGGCTTTACAAATGCACCTGTAAAGCTCCTGAGGTTAATGAAAAAATGTCTTGGTAAAATTAATTTACCATAGCTGTTTTGTTACCTCTGGTGGAGACAAAATATTAGAACTGACTACATATAAGCAGTATTGCCAGACCTGCGTGCAGTGTTTGCTACAGTGAGCTGGGCATCATTTTATTATTTAATGCCAGCAATGCAGACTTATATTATTAAAAACCTGGGGCTTTTTTTGGAGTAAACTTGCTATAATAACTGGTGTGATGGGGTGTTCACATTACACAAGCCACAATACAGCCTAATTGCCGACAAGGCGCAGCTGGAGAAGAAGCTGGGCTAACATTATGAAGACAGGAAAAACTTAAATAACAACAAATGGTCTGGTAGCACTTTATAGACTAACAAAACATGTAAATGGTATCATGAGCTTTGTGGCCACAATCCACTTCTTCATATGACTGGAGAGTTGGAAGTCCAGATGCAAGAAAGGAGGAGGAAACTGCAGGGAAGGGGCTTGTAGTTGCCCTCTAGAGGGAAAGGGAGTTGATCTGGGAAATCCAGGGGGAGAGCATAAACATAGTTTGACATCTGTATTCGGGGTGGGGACAATTATCTTGGGATGTCACATGCTGGGCTCTCCCCCCCTGTGTGTAGTGGTATATGGGCATCTCTGCTGGGGTGATGCTGGTCTAGCTTAATAGGGAAGCCTAGGTGCTGTTGACAGCCACTCTGGGACCAGCTGCTGCAGCATTGTCTCTGCCTTGCCTCTCTGCAGGCACGCACTGTTGTACAGGAAACATGGCCATTAGGAGTAGGAGGTGGGAGCACAGGAGAACAGCTGTTCCATCCTGCTGCTGCCTCCATTTCCCATGAGCCGAAATGGGAAGCGGGGAGGGAGCAGTGCAGGGAGGACATGGTGCCCCAGACCAAAGCAGTTTCTGCAGGGCAGCGAGGCAGTTGCAGAAATGGAGGGGGTGTGGCATATGACACCCCCCAATGCCTTGCCACTGTTTGAAGGGCCAGTGCCTCTCCATAGCCTCTTTAACTATGCCCAGGGGGGAGACTAAGCCTTGGGGTCTTTTCCTGACTAGGAGGTGAAGTAGCCCCGTGGAACAGACAATGTGCTGGTGCTTGTACTATAAAGGTGAGGAGCACAAATAAGCAAGTGGATTGATAACTAGAGGGACCCTGGGTGCAACCCAGAGTTGTGGACAGGTTTGGGTTCCCCCACCAATCTCTGGGAAGTGTCACAGGGCCTAGAAGTGGAACAGAAAAGCAGCTGAGGACATCTTGTCTGGTGGGACTTTGTTACCCCACAAGGGGGAAATTGTACAGTGACCAGACTGCACAGCCGACACAAGAAGAGGGAACACTCCAAGTCACAGAGACAGAGAGAGAGATGGCATCAGCCAATGATGACATGGGGTACTGCTGGGGTGAAAGCTAAGGCCTAGTGTATAGTACCTCCTCCTGTCAATCTAAGTTGTGCAACTTCAGCTACACAAATAAATCAGTGTACTTACCACAGTGTCTTCTATGTGGTAAGGTTGGCGGGGGCAGCTCTCCTGTCAACTCTGGTTTCTCTTCTCGTCCAGGTGGAGTACCTGAATCAATGGGAGAGTGCTCGGAGATCGATGTATCATGTCTGCTTGGCATCGATTTACTGTGTAGTGAAGATAAGCCTAAATTCCCAGACCTAGTCACCAGGAAGTGCTCCTGCAGCGAGCAGAGCCCTTTACAGCTGGTCACTAGTGAAGAAGATAGAGCAAACCCTAGAAAATGTAAAGGTATAGAGACAGGATTCTGCACTCAGTCATGCCAGTGTAAATCCAGAGTAACTGAACAGATTCTGGCTTGTTCAGTCATGTGAAAAATCAACGGAGAAGAGCAATTGCATGGCTAGATGAGTATTTTTTAATTCAACTAAAGCTAACATTTTTGAATGTAGGTGCCTGAAGTTAGGCACATAAAGCCATGTATAGTCTCCTAAAATAAGTGGCCATAGTGTGGAGAGCCAAATTATGAATGGTAGACTAGAAGCATTTTTATACTTTTTGCTCTCAAATGACTATCAGCTGCTTTCTAGCTGCCCTATGAATGGCCAGCGTTCTTTGTTTTCTGATATGTTTGGACTCTGTCACATCACAAACACAGACACACAATAAACCCAAACTTCCTGTGATGTTATCTACACGGGGGATGGCAGAGGCTGTTCTGCCCCACTAGTGTAAGCCCTGGTGCAGAGACACAGTAAAACTGTGTATGCTGTGTAGGGTTGCCAGGTGTCCAGTATTTTTGCCTCCTGTCAGGTAAAAAAGTTCAGAAAATACCAGACACCTACAATGTCCGGTACTTTTTGATTTTTTTTTCCCGGCCAGGAGGTGAAAATCCTGGGCTGTCCAGCTGAATACAGAGACAGCCTGGCAACCCTAGTGCTTACCCGTGTGGGAAGGCAAATTGGCGGGCAGCTGCTGGCAGCCTGTTAGGGTAAAAAAGTCTCGCTACATGTTTCACATTTCTTAAAGGGGCCACACTGTTTTTGTTTTTTTGCTTAACAACTCTTGGGGGTCCTTTTGTATTTTTTCTTAAACCATCTGGCAACCCTAACATTGCTGTGACTTGCACCTGTGCCACTTGGAGCTGGGGTAAACTGCTTTGGTAACTCATTACAGCAGAGCAGAACACAAACACCAGCAGTACCAGTTCAGTGATAGCATCATGGCTACTCTGTCAGTTACTAGTTGGCGAGCACAAGGCCTCCTACTAAAAGGAAATTGCTCTCCAGAGTTGGCTTCTGTAGTTAGCAGCTTTCTGGGCTCTGTGCAAACTGTGGCGATGTATGTCGTTATGCTGCCACCTTGTGTAAAAGAGAGCTGAATAAAGATGGCTGACACAGATGAGTCAGTACAGTAGTGCTGAGATTTGGTCACAACTTAAAAATAGATAGCCCTAGCTACATTGCTGAGGGCCATGAAACATGTCACGCCCTGTGCAATGTAGTTAGCTCAACACAACCCAATAATGGGATTCTTCTGCTGACCTAGCTACCACCTCTTTTGGGGATGGAAACCTAAAGTAGTGAAAAAAACTCATCCCTCAGTGTTGGCATCATCTACACCAGGGCTTGGTAATAAGTGGCCAGTGTTATCAGATGTAGTACGATAGGGTGAGCCCCTAGTGGGACACCAGATGCTTTATTTACCCGAGCGTTCCCACAGATCCGGTTGCTTTCAGCTCTTATTGGCTGTGGCTCGTCGTTCGCTGTTGGTGGGCCACTTACTGTTCACCCCGGTGTAGATCTTGCCAACACTGATGGAAGAAGTTTTTTCACTGCTCTAGTTATTCCACCCCCAAAGAGGCTGTTGTGACACAGCTGCAGCACTACAACTGTGCCACTACAGTTGGCTTTGGGGTAGCTGTGCCCTGAGAGTCAGAAATGAAACCGAGGGCGAAATTTTCCTTGCTGTGCTGTCATTTTCAGCTTGTTTTAATCACCAGCAATGTTTCTGGTTCTCTGTAAGATGCAAATACAGAGACTGTTTTTGCTTTGGGGCTCTTTCAATCTAAAACTGGTCTGGTGTTCAGTATCCCTAGTGATTCTGATATCAACTGGGATAATATTTCTATTGTAATAGACCCAGAGAACTAATATTAACTAGTGTCCCTCACTGTGCTACGTGCTGTACACAACCACTAGGATATCACTCTTACTGTACTGAGGACTTTCTGCCATAAGCACAGGGAGATCAGAACACCAAAGTTGGTCGCCTCTTGGCAGAGCTAAGAAAATGGTTTTGGTCTAAGAATCTTGTCAACTGTACTTCATCCACCACAGAAATGACAGAAGCTGAATAAATACATCTTGCTGAAAGAGAGGAAAATTTCAGAGGAAAGCGGGATCAAAACTAAGTGGCTACCTCTACACTGGCATGATTTTCCAGAAATGCTTTTAACGGAAAAGTTTTCTGTTAAAAGCATTTTCAGAAAAGCGCGTCTAGATTGGCAGGACGCTTTTCCACAAAAGCACTTTTTGCGGAAAAGTGCCCGTGGCCAATCTAGACGCGCTTTTCTGCAAAAAAGCCCCAATCGCCATTTTCACGATTGGGGCTTTTTTGCTCAAAACAAATCTCTGCTGTCTACACTGGCCCTTTTGTGCAAAAGTTTTTCGGAAAAAGACTTTTGCCCGAATGGGAGCAGCATAATATTTCCGCAAAAGCACTGACAATCTTACATGAGATCGTCAGTGCTTTTGCGGAAATTCAAGTGGCCAGTGTAGACAGCTGGCAAGTTTTTCCGCAAAAGCAGATGATTTTGCGGAAAAACTTGACACTCTAGACACAGCCAGTGAGTAACCCAGGCCCAGGGAGTTTTTGACATGTTACCTTTAGAAAATGGCAAAGTGGATAAATTGGGCAGCGATTATCCTGTTTTGATTTATTGCAAGGCAAGAAAAATGCCATGTTTAAGCAACATGTGTTTAACTGTGACAAACAAAAATCAGGAAATATTTTCCTAGACTATTCATCACACACCAGAAATTATAACAGTCTTTCAGAGGGTGTAATGTATGATGAAAATTATTGAGCGGTTATAAAAGATGAGCAATGCAGATGACAATTATATTAATAACATGTATAATCCCAAAGTGTGTGAAACTCTAGAGAGTATCAGAAACTTGGAAACATCAAGAATAAAATCAAGACAGTAATCGCACAGTACATTCTTAGCATGAGATCAAATAGCATCCAGTGAAGAATAAACCACATTGTGTTAGAAGATCATAAGGCCCAATTTTTAAGAGGTGTATTCGCAATGCCGCCCGTGGGAGGTTATCTCTGAAAAATCAGTTCTCCTCTAACCTAATAAAATAAATGTTGCAAGTTCAGTTCTAATGTGGTTTGCTTTGTATTCCATGCAGAAGAAATCGGGAAGGTACAAAGTAAGAGCAGAGAGAAAAGAATCAAATGAAAATGGGAGCAGAAAGCTGGCAGCGTGTAATAGAGTGGGAGAAGGAGGAGCAGAGCGTCAAGAAAGATTTTGAACTCAATCGCTGGCTCTCAGCGTTTCCAGAGTACTGTAACCCTTTCAGGGATCTGATTTGCCTTGTGTTCCCCAAGTGTCACCTCACTTAAAAACTTAAAATCAGACCTAAAAATACAAAAGTGTCACAGCACATGAAGACTGAAAAATTGCTGACTTTCACATGTTCATGTAATTATAAAATAAATCAATTGGAATAAAAATATTGTACTTACATTTCAGTGTATAGTATATAGAGGAGTACAAACAAGTCAGTGTATGAAATTTTAGTTTGTATTGACTTCATTAGTGCTTTTAATCTAGCCTCTTAAAATTAAGCAAATATTAAGATAAGATGATGCATGCCATGGCAAACCTCTGCATCCCCCTTGGGTACATTTACCCCTGGTTCAGGACCAGTGAACTAGAGAATACAAAGGAACTGCTTGGATGTAACTGGAAGAAGAATTTGGCCTTTATATAGCTGCCCAGCAGTTCCCACCTTCAGTTCCTCTTGCTTGTCCCATATTCATTCTCTCATTTGTTGTACAGCTGAACACACAGATTGTACCGGTAAATACCAACACCTGCCGTTATGCTAGGGCAATAAGAAACTGAAATGGATTTGAGACTGTACTCACTGTGTGCTCTCATATATTGAGACAGAGAGTTCACTTCCAATAGTGCTCTTCATCTGAATGGAAGAGTGTGTCATAAATCTAACTCATTCACTAATCATGAGTGAATTTATTAGGCATAAAAGATGTAGTACAGGTTGAACCTCTCTAGTCTGGCACTTTGGTCCAGCAACATCTGTGATCTGGTATGATTTTAGTTAGCCGGATGTCCACTTATCATAGGTGTGGCCAAGTTTCCCATATAAGGTTTGTTTGCAGCTACTGGTCCTGGCTCTCAGTGTTCTGTGCTGCTTTTATCTCTAATTTACCCCTAATTGTCTTCTAAGAGCCCAATAAGCAGTGCAAGTGTTGTTAATGTTGCTAAACAATATCGATCTCCTATGATCTGGCAAATTTTTTGATTCGGCACCGGTCAGGTCTTGAGGGTGCTGGACTAGAGAGGTTCAAACTGTACTGCTGATAGATATGTATCATGTGGGAGGTCAGATTATCTGCTCTAGAATGGTGAGAATCCTGTTCCCTATGAGCTGAAAAAGGGTTAGTTCAGGTTAGCTAGACACACCTGAGGCCAGCTATGGGCTACCAGTGACCTTTAAAACCCTCTCTTGTGCTGAGAGAGGGGAGGAAGACAAGCCGTGGAAGGGGATTCTCCTAGAATGCTGTTCTCCTTCCTGTGAAACAGCCATTGTTAATGGATTGTTTGGGGGAAGGAGTGGCACCCACGGGGCAGCATGGTGAGGCAACAGCCCAGGTTGGAGGCAGGGAAAGGTGTTCAGCTTTTTGAGTTATGAACTTGTTTTGTTTGGCTTAAGAGTATCCCTGAGGCCCGCCTTGTAAAAATGGAGGAATAAAAAACCTGAGTGAGGAATAAAAAACCTGTCTACAGTGGGACTGATTTACTTGCAGCTGTCTCCATCACCAGAGGGGAACTGTTGTGACTGGAGAGGTCAAGGAGGGGCCCTGCCATGCCATCAGTGGGGGAAATGATGTGAAATAATTTAGACAGATAAACTAAAGTAACTATTTATATTTTACATTACGTTCATTTGCCCTTTTATCATATCTTTCACCTGAGGACCTCACAGTGCTTCACGTATATTACTTAACTAGTGAACGTGTAAAAATGACATTATGTGATTTCATGCTTATCGTGTCTCTCTTATTTCACAGCAGATGTGTTCAGTTTACAAATGCAGGCCTCAAAATCTGTTACATTTGTTGCAGGGGCAGGGACTCAGGCTATAAAGATATTTTTTCCCCTAACTGCAAACGCATTAGGATCTGAGATCCAAGCTGGTTTCTTTTGTTCTTTCTTCATCATCACCACTATTGAAGATTCTGCATTCCTCTGTACAATTCCTACTTTCTGGCTATTGGGAATGGGGGAGGAGAGAAAAACAAAAAAAGTATGAAAATATAGTATGGATGTTGTGCAAACCAAATATGGAATCCTTTAGTACTGTTTTCATAGCGTCACTTTTCAAAGGAGAGACCCCTTTAAAATGATCCAGATGGATCCCGTACAAGGCCCTGATCATCTCCAAACCTATATCTTTGCTTAACAGTGAGTACTTGAATAGTCCCACTGAATTGTTTGTAGGCTCAGAGCCCAAATCATTTAGGTTATGTCTGCACTGCAATAAAACACCTGTAACTGGCTCATACCAGCTGCCTTGAGCTTGTGAGTCTATAAAATTGGAGTGTAGATGTTCTGGCTCAGACTGTAGCCTGTTTTTTGGGATGCGGGAGGGTCTCAGTGCTTAGACTCCAGCCCTAACTCAAATGTCTACACTGCAGTTTTATAGCTCTGCACCCTGGCCCTATGAGGCTGAATCAATAGCGGGGGGCAGCAATGGGTTTTACTACAGTATAGACAGTCCTGATGGGGAGATGAGCTGTGGAAGAGAGAGTAAGAATGAAAGGAGAAGGTAGCTCACTCAGCACACAAGAAGTGAGGCTGTTCCAAATATAGGAGGCCACGTGAAAATAGGAATGAACTGAAGAGTAGGAAAAACTTAAAAAACAACAGATAGTCTAGTAGCACCTCCTACCTGAAGAATAGGTGGAGACTGAAGAGAGGCCTGCCTGGAAAACAAATGCTTAGGCGCACATATGTAAGTGAGAGCTTACTTGGCAGCAGAATCTATGTAGGGCCTTGCAGATGAGGATGGGGAGACTGAATATCGGCTGAAAGAGAGTAAACTCAAAAGGGGTCATGAGGGCATGCTGGTAAAAGTTAGTACTGCACCTTATTCACTATGCAAGGATATATGGTCTGCAGCTTTTCTAGCCATAAGCACAGTAACTTCCCTTATTTCAACTTCAAATGCAATAATAAAACCTGGTTTGTTTGATATTGCTTCCTAATGATTGAGGTGCTGAAATGTTGCCCCCCCCAAAAGTTGTCTTGGTGATAAGAATATTTTTTTCTTCAGATAAATGAAATAAGTTGAAGTTTTTCCAGTTTCAGAATGTTCCTACTCAAGTAGACGCTGATAAACTTGTAAATTAAGATTTCTCAAAGTGCTAATTATTTCTGAGGCGTCGCTTGCTTAGCAAGTTTTCAGATTGCTAATTTATGGTTACAATAATTTGAAAATCTAGATCATGTGTGTGTGTATGTTATGCGGGGGAGGGAGATAAAGAGAAAGCTCTGTGATTTTCGAACTTCTAGAGCCACTGATGTTTAAAATCCCAGCAAACCAGTAAAACTGTCATGTTAAGGAATGTAATAGGGAAGCTGGCCCATTCAGTGAAATTGGGCTTAGCACTCCTGTCCAGTCCGGGCTCTGCTAGTTGGGCCAATGAAGAGGGTGGGGGACCACCGGCAGAGCTAGCTGAGGCTTGGTGGAGTCCAGGCTGAGAACAGAGCCAATCAGTAGAAGGGCAGTGGAAGGAGCTGCCAGAGAGCTGAAAGGTAGGAGAGAAGCTAGTGGGGTTTGCTGGCTGGTGTTCCTGAGCCAGAGTGAGTTGCCATCTGGCACTCAGTCCGAGAGCCGGAGCAAAGGCCCAGAAAGGGCTACGGAAGAGAAAGCTGCAGAGAGAGTTACCTTCTGATGTCTCCTTGCTGAAGAGAGGACTCATGAAAGGGCCAGGGGGAGCCAAGGATGCTGCACTGGCAAAGCTGCTCCCAGCTGGGGAAAGCAGGGTTGTACCTCAGAAGGAAAGATTGAGGTGGTCGTCCTAGCAAGAAGTGGAGGTCTAGCAGAGTTTGGATGTGGCAGAAGAAGCCAAAATGAGGTATTATGTTAATGCCAAAGAGAATATGTAATTTCAAGGCCTATGTGCAGTGAGGTGATATGGATCAGGTTTTTGGACTTTTGTTATGGCTGACTGGTACAATGTTTGTCCATAAGTCAGAAGGAAAGATTGAGGTGGTCGTCCTAGCAAGAAGTGGAGGTCTAGCAGAGTTTGGATGTGGCAGAAGAAGCCAAAATGAGGTATTATGTTAATGCCAAAGAGAATATGTAATTTCAAGGCCTATGTGCAGTGAGGTGATATGGATCAGGTTTTTGGACTTTTGTTATGGCTGACTGGTACAATGTTTGTCCATAAGCTGTTGGTGGATTAGAGCAGGAGTTTTCAAATTCTGGGTTGTGGCTTTTTAGGTGAGACACCTTGTTTACCTATGCCTCTTCTGGTGCAGGGATCGCAGCTGATGTTGGTCATGGATCACCGTTCCTGGCCAATGAGAGTTATGGGAAGCAGTGTCCCAGTCCACACTGCTTCATGCAGCTCCTACGATTGCCCGTGCCTGTGGAGGTGCAGAGAAACAAAGTGCCTCGTGGCCAGCTAGCAGCTACCCTTTACAAGCTATGACCCAGAGTTTGAAAACCCCTGAACTAAAGGATAAGATTCTCTGAAATTATTGAGGATTCAAGCAGGGATTAAAAAAACGGATTAATCAGTTAACCGGTTAAATGTTAGGTTAAGTGGTCTGGGGGTGGGGCTGGAGCTTGGCTCTGGCTGTCACTGGCTCCCGGCCTGTGCTGGGGCAGCCTTCCACCTGTGGCAGGCCGTGGGCAGAGGACTGCTCCTGGGCACTGGTTTATCAGTGCCCAGTAAACATCACTTGTCAAGGGTAATGCTTACCAGGTAACGGGTTACCCGTTCGCATCCCTGGATTCAAGAGAGAAACAGAGGTAAGTGGCCACTTACAGGTCTGCCATGAGGCCGCCACAGGTGTCCAAGAGCCTCGGCACCAGGTTACAGCATTGTGTTCTCCCAATATAGTTACAAGTTGTCTTGTGGTGTCTGGGATCAAAGCACATTGAACTGTGCTCAGTGACTCAATTACAGTTATAGGCAATAAGCCTGAAACTTGCTCTATGCAGATAGATGCGTATTTCTGTGCAATGCCTTCTGATTGCTGGGACTTTCTGGGAGGGTGCAGGGTTCTGCTTGCACAGAGACAGTTGCAGGACTGGGGCCGTAGAACAGATGAGCCTTGATCTCTGTCTTTTCTCCCTGCTTTTTTTCCTGCTCTCTGTCCATACCAATAAGTATGATATTTGTATTGTGCACTAATAAAATATATCAAAGCCATGTCAAATTTGCTTGGCAATTTTTCTGTGGTAGTAAACTGGAGGAGCTGATTTTAAGAATGGGCCATAAATTAAAGGTGGAGAGCGGACTCCTGGAAAAATCTGCTTTTCTTATGAGTATGTGATATCTAGTTACTATGATGATGAGAACACTGGGTTCTGTCTTGCAAAAGCTCTAAGGACCTTCAGCTCCTATTGATTTCAGCCAAGAAGCAGCCTCAAGCCCCGCCAAAGCAATGATAGATTGTGTGTGTTTTATCTGATGAACCTGTAAATCTTTACTCGCAAGAAAAATAAATTGTTTTTAGATATTTGAGATAAAAACGATGGTAGTCTTACACTAGGAGCAAGCAGTTTTTGTAATGTAAGGTTACCATGTCTGGTGTATGACTGAAATAAATATACAAATATAATAACACTATAATAAAACTGTGTCTAGACTGGCCAATTTTCCGGAAAATCAGCCGCTTTTCCGGAAAAACTTCCCTGCTGTCTACACTGGCCGCTTGAATTTCCGCAAAAGCACTGACGATCTCATGTAAGATTGTCAGTGCTTTTGTGGAAAAACTATGCTGCTCCCGTTCGGGCAAAAGTCTTTTTCCGAAAAACTTTTGCGCAAAAGGGCCAGTGTAGACAGCAGAGATTTGTTTTCCACAAAAAAGCCCTGATCGCGAAAATGGTGATCAGGGCTTTTTTGTGGAAAAGCGCATCTAGATTGGCCATGGATGCTTTTCCGCAAAAAGTGCTTTTGTGGAAAAGCGTCCTGCCAATCTAGACTCTCTTTTCCGAAAATGCTTTTAACGGAAAACTTTTCCGTTAAAAGCATTTCCGGAAAATCATGCCAGAGTAGCCTGAATGTTTCTTACAAGTGATAAGTACAAGGAAGTAGGCACAAGTGGAATTGGGTGGATGGTTTTGATGAAAAGACAGCAGAATAGCAGCTAATTATTACTTATAGAGAGATAAGGCTAAAAACAACAGAGGTTGAGAACAACTTCTGGAAGACCTGTTATATGGGTATAATACCATGAAGAGGAAATGGAATAGCTATTTATGTTTTGACAATGGGTGTTGCCGCCTGTTGACCAGACCTTCTAAGCCAGTATTTATGGATTAGAAAGGCTTTGTAAATTTGTATTTTCAAAAGCTGGAAATGGGCCACAGAGGATGCATCACCTGATGAGTACCTGTTTAGGATTGCCAGGTGTCCAGTTTTGAACCGGACAGTCCAGTATTTGAGCTTTCTGTTTGGGAAACAAATTGAGAAAATCTAAATGAGAAAATATAACTGTCTGGTATTTTCTAAATAAGATGTACTATAGATTGTGATGTAATGTCAAGTGTGTCCGGTATTTTTGTTGAAACTATCTGGCAACACCTGTACCTGTTCTGTTCATTCCTTCTGAAACACCTGGTGTTGGCCACTGCCATAAGACAGGATAGTGGGTTATATGTGCTATTGGTCTGACCCAGTGTAGCCGTGCTTATCATCTTATGTATTTGTGTGGTGCTGTTTAAAAATCTGAGGCCTTCTTGATTTTTTGAAATTTAAATTAGGCATTAGTAGGAGAGCTATGAAAATTGCTTTTATAGTTATGAGATTTATTATTTTGTGAAAATGTGAATGCATTAATATTAAGAAGGATGAACATATAGGGTGCGTCTAGACTGGCAAGATTTTGCGCAAAAACTTGCCAGCTGTCTACACTGGCCACTTGAATTTGCGCAAGAGCACTGACTTTGTAATATAAAAAAACAGTGCTCCTTGCGTAAATACTTTCACGCTCCCGCTCGGGGAAAATCCCTCTTGCGCAAGAATACTTGCGCAAGAGGGCCAGTGTAGACAGGGAAGAACTGTTTTGTGTAAAAAAGCCCCGATGGCTAAAATGGTGATTGGGGCTTTCTTGTGCAAAATCGCGTCTAGACTGGCCACGGATGCTTTTGCGCAAAAGCACTTTTTGCACAAAAGCATCCGTGCCAATCTAGACGCTCTTTTGCGGAAATACTTTTAATGGAAAAACTTTTCAGTTAAAAGTATTTCTGCAAAATCATGCCAGTCTGGACGCAGCCATAATGTAAATGATTAAATATTTTAATGTATGTTAATGACAAATAGAAGTTTAAAATCCCCTTTTAAAAAGCTTAGCCTATATTCAGATTCCTTTGTCTATTTAGTATTCCCTTTTATTTCCAGCAGAGGGCAGATTTGTTTCATAAACTTTCCATTTGTTCATTTTATCAGAATTGAATTCTAAAGTACATCAGTCTGTTTAATCATTATTGGAACATCAGTCTCTTCCTTTGGCAATTTTCCTCACAAAGTACATTAGAGAGACGATCATACACTAACAGTAAAACAAACAAAAATCCCAGCAGCAACTTCTCATCTTGTAGAAGGTTTGATTAGCCTGCTGTGCACAGAGGCTACATCTAGACTGCAGGCTTCTTTTGGAAGAAACTTTTCTGGAAGAGATCTTCCGAAAAAACTTCTTCTGAAAGAGAGTGTCCACACTGCCAAAGCACATCGAAAAAGCGATTTGCTTTTTCAAAGATAGTGTCTAGACTTAATGGATGTTATCTTGCATGCTATCTCGCATGCGAGCTGTGATTACTATGGGAGGAATAGCTTTTTCTCTTGCTTTTTCCTCTTTCCTCTTCTTTCGAAAGAACTCCCTCTTCCCCGTCCACACTTGCTTCTTCCTCATAGAAGGAGGTTTACCAATGTTGGAAAACCCCCTCTGTTCTTTTGATTTTCTTTCAAAAGAACGTGATTGCAGTGTGGATGTAATTGAAGTTTTTTTGGAAAAACAGCCGTTTTTCTGAAAAAAACCTCTGTAGTATAGACATACCCAGCGAGAAATGCAAATTCTTTCTTCTGATTCTTAAAATCTCCATTGGATTGTTTCCTTGGGAGATAGTTTGAAGATTTACCCCATGTATTGAATG